CATCATTTATTCATATGGTGTATGGTTTCTAGTGTTTTGGCATGGCAGTATTAGACAGATAGAGGACGAGGAGAATCAAGGTGGATAATACATGCGAATTTTGTCAAGTTCATACGAAAACTACGAACCATATTTTATTTTGTTGTAATGTGGCACATCATCTATGGTGTAAATGTAGGAGAACCCAATGATGAAACACAAATACTCGAGTCAACAGAAAGTATTCAAAGCACACAAAAACCTTTCATTAACACAGATGTAGCACTGCTACAAGCAACTCATGTTGCATGAGATTACACACTCTTACAGAGATGAGATAAAACTCTTAACCTAGTCTACCCGTGAACGCACAACATCTTACAGACAAGATTTGTGTTCTACACCAGTTCCTAATCTACCCAGACAAAACATATTGCATTTTTTCTCACACATCCTTTTTGTTCTTGAGTTCTTATGGAAGCATACTCTCTCAATCTCACCCCTGATTTTTCCAAGAAGAACTACTTTTCAAAACCACCTCTGCAGTCTCGTTATATTGGTTCTCCACTAACCAATATTTCTGAAGAGTCATGCTTCGGACCAGCGGACAATCCACTATTCTTGCGCAGAGAAACACTGTTTCACCTATCATTTCACTTTGCGCAACGCGCCAACCTTATGCTTTTTGCCTTTTGCATAATGTCACTTCCTTGTTAGTTGAACCAACCTTCTGCACGATATCTCCCACTTGCACTCTCATGGTTCAAGACGTACGTGATATTCACACGTGTGATGTTGACTTCCCACGTGTGACACTGACTTCAGCTTTGCTCATCTTCTGTGTAGCACAGGAATCCTTACACCTTCTTTGATCTTTAGTTGCCATTTTTGATGTATCTACATATGGTTTCTTGCAACAGTACCTACTCTAAGCTCTAGTTTTTGGGATTCACTAGAGGATAACTTGAGCTACGTTTTGGATTTGATCAACAGACAAAAGCTCACATAAATGATCAAAGCAATGACTCCTTAGATTTTATGGAATGTATGGAAAAACTATAACTCGATTCTGTATGCTCAGAAACAAAATGCTTTAAGTTGAGTTATTTAGACTGCTTTTGATAGAGCGACTCAATGGAGAGAAATTAACAATGGGGTTGAGATTGAGATTATCTTTAATAAAATTATAATCGAGGAGTTTTACTAGATCGAGCTTCAAAATGGTTCTCTCATTTATTTGGTACGATTGAATGCAATATTAATTCGCATTGGAGGAACGCATCTTTACACAATGGTGGGGCATGGGTTGTACGTGATCATACCAGTGAGGTTCTTTATCATGCGAGAGAGACATTCATATGTTCTCATAATCGCATTGTAGCTGAACTAAGGTGTGTTATTTAGGCAATACTGAGCTTGAAAGATTTGGAGTTCACTGATGAAGTGATTACCTTGGATTGTCAAGTCGTAAGTGAAGCAAT